TCTTGGCGGGATAGATGCGGGTCGGGTACCCGCAAAAACGGATACGGATACGGATCAGCAAAATAAAAAACCCGCGGGTACCCGACCCGCAAGGTATATTATATAAATATTAAAAAAATAAGGGTTCATTATATAATTTTATAATTTTTAATCCTAAGTGTAAGTAAAGTGGTTCACAACCTCATATTTTAATCTCATATGATCCGCCTCTCCTCATCTTTGTCTAAAAAAAGTGAATATTTTTGGTGAAACCTAAACCAAATGAATAAAACAAAGAAAAATTTGTGAAATTCTATCATAAAAATTGTTCATCCCTTTCATCCTTTTTCATTTTCATTCTACTTCCATCGATCTTTTCTGCAAAATTTTGATCAATTCAATCAAAAATTTGTGTTTGGAGCTCCAATTTTCTGTTAGCTAGATAATTAAAACATTTGTGTCTTTCATTTATTTATTTATTTTATTGCAATTATGTCTCTTAAATTTGTTTCCTTTATTTTAGTGCAAGAAATTTATTTTCTTTTTCATCACCTTTAATGCAACAAGGTCTATTCCAAAGATGTAAGAAAGTTGGGGAAAATTTTTCAAAATTATTTTGGTTATACTTTCTTCAAAAATTATTAGCTCTGTTCAATTCTTTTCCGGACTTGATTCCACAATCGACTCATTTTGGATGCAATCTTGTACCATAATATCCTTAAGGAAGTTCGAAAAATTGCCATATATTTATTATTCTTGTGTTTGTTATGTTGTAAAAGGATGAAATGCGTGAGAATGGTGATGTACTCAAAATTATCATAAAACTTTGTTTTATTCTTGTGTTTGTTATGCTATAGAAGGATGAAATGCGTGAGAATAGTGATGTACTCAAAATTATCATAAAATTTCGTTTTATCTATTAGATATTATTATTCTAATATGTACTAAATTTATGAAATCGGTTTGATTATTGGATGAAATGTCTGAGAATGGTGATGCATGGATTTTGATTATAATATATCTACCAATGTTAATTGGAAAGCATACTTTTTTTGTATTGGAAAACATGTTGATATTAAGTGAAAAACAATTTTTTTTAGGGGCGGGGTACCCTATGACCCGCCCATTTTTTTCGAGTACCTGAATAGCGGTTACTCGAAAATATTAGGAGCAGGTTAGAGTCGCAAAATGGCTGATCAGATATTTTATGGTCAGGTCAGCCATATCTTGTTAGGGGCGGGTACCCGATCCGTGCCCACCCCTATTTTCTGTCTACCAAAGAAACAAGAGCAATAGAATAGAAGAAAGAATGCAGTAGGTGCACAATTACCACTGATCATGATGACAATCAGCAAAAAATCCTACGTGAAAAATTAGATAAACTCTGCAACTATTGTGCAAATGCAAAACACAAAACCACCTCAAGCAACGATAGCAAAAAAAAAAAAAGGTGATTGTTGACAAGAGTGAGAGGTGGCCGTTTTTCCATCTTTACAGACACAACCTTAAGCAGAGGCAAAAAAACTACAAGGCCTATTGAGTGTAAACGTAAATGCACACACAAGGGATGGGTAATCTAGTGAAATGAAACATACATTATTCAGCTAAGTTACAACTACTTGTCACCAAAATGAGGCTAATGACAAATAATGTATAAGGATACGGTGGATTAGGAAATCGCGAAAGCATGCATTTGAATTGAATGAACAAAATACCTTTTTTTTCAACACTCGGTATTAGTCTATTTTACATCTACTCCTATTCCTACTCTATCCTATTTTAGGGAGGACTCAACTGGACCTATGGGGGATCGACGGGAACTGAACCACCATCAGATCAGACGGGTGCACTACACACACCCGTCTAGATTTGGAGAACCATACCTCCCACCCACCAAGCCTTAAAGGCTTGATGGTGGCCACTCCTCTATTGGGAGTTGGTTGAATGAACAAAATACAGGCTATAGACAAAATTAGTCAATTATTAGTAATATAAAAAGTCAAGTTATAGTAGGAAAAAAAAATGAGTGAAAAGAATAAGAAGAAGCATATTTCTTAGTAGGATCAATATCAACATGTCCTCACACAACAACTTTATTAATTAATTATGTAACAAATAATTGGAAAATTTTGTTAACTTATTCCAATTATTTCGGTAGCCAAAGAATGACAATAGTATTTAAGCAATTAACAATTAGTTGCAAAAGAGTAGCCAAGGAAGGATGATTTGCTTATGTAGAAGCAAAGTCGTTGTTAATCTAAAAAAAGAAACGGTAATCAAATGCAACCTGTTAGTAAAAAATAAGAAGCTAATAACTTAAAAGGTGGCAATTAAACATAAATTGTTAAGGATAATAGGTGAAAAAATTAAATAAGCAAATAACAATTAAGTAGAAAAGAATACAATTGAACATTAATTGCTGGACACCCTAAAAAAAACCTAATTTTTTAATATAACTTTTGCGAAGAATTGATGATTAGATGTAATTTGTTAGACAACAGCAGCAAAAAGGTAATTTAATTTTGAGGAGATTTTAAGGAGTAAATATTGAATCTAATTCAATGGGCAATCGAAAAACAACATTAATCACGGACAAATGAATTAAAAAAAAATTGGTCTGTCAAAATTTGATAATAATAATTAAATGTCTCCCCCCTCATTTTGCAAAGAAAGGAAAAACCATTTTTTTTAGAGTGATGCGCCATTTTCAAATAGCTGATAATTAGACATAAAAATTTAGAAAATAAAGTAACAAAAAAATTTAATAAATCAGCAATTGAAATCAATCGGAAACATTGGCATTCCCCAATAAACTAGATATGTTAATAAACATGTCACCAATTTTGTAAAGAAACGGTGTCGTATATTTATAATGAGTTTTAGTCACATTCATCTCCGAATTTTAATCATATAGTTTGGGATATGTATTGGAATTTACCAGGCATTGAGCTTTGCCTGCAGCGTTTGGTATAGCTCATGGAAGCTTGGTAATTGGACAAAATTACTTTGTTGTCCTTTGTTGGATTTAACTACACTTAATGATGCTGCGGGGTTAAATGAAAAATTAATCTTTGGTTAATGTCTATGGACTGCAATTTAAAACTAATTTTGCGCATTTAATTTAATTAGTGTATTCAATGTCTAAGCTTGCATCTGTTGGATTTTTATTCAGAATTGCCTCACCTTCATTTTTCTTATTATTAATTCTTTGCTATAGTTGTTTACTTTTATGCCTTCAGTGCTGCTTATGGACTAAGTTCAAAAGTAATTTATTTTAAAAAAAATAAAAGTAATTTTGCTTATTTAAATAATGTATACATTGTCTAAGCATTTGTTAGAATTTTTGTTTAGAATTGGCTTACCGTCCTTTTTCTTCCGATACTAATATTAAACCATGTGATTGATTGATCTTTCTTCTTTGTCCATTTTGTATTTTTTCTTATTTGCTTTTTTCTCTTATTACCTCTTTGGTTCTAGTATTGATCGATTTTAGTTTTTTTTTCAAAAAGTAGCTGTAGTCGCTTATTGGGATTGAGGTAAATCCTTTGAGATTTTTGGCCTGGGCTTATCTATTCTTGAATTAAAATTTTTAAAACTCAATATGGAGGTAGGGTTAATCAAAGAGGTTGTGGACTCATACCTATACGACTAAGGGTACAATAGAAAGTTCAAAAAGTTACAAGTGTATTTAACACCATACAATAATGCTCCGTTATATAATTTGTATAGACTAGAATTAATGCACACCCAATGTATGTGTATGAAATGTTTAAAATAGTACAATTTTTGAAATCATTTTTATGAGAATTAATTTTATATTTTCATAAATATATATAGAAAATGAATAAAGTGTGCTTATTTGTAGTGGATACTTCTTTATTTAATGCATATTGAAAAGGGAAAAAAAATAAAAGTAAGCTCATAAAGTGAAATTCAACAGATAAAATTTTCAACATAAATTCCTTTTCTTTTGAATTAGGGGCATACACTTAATAACAAATATATATTAAAAATAAGATAATAGCAAATTGTGATAACAAATAGATATTACAAAATAACAGCAAATAGTAAATTGTGCACCCTCACGTTAGAGGTGAAACTTTTTTTCAATCTAATCCAACTTGGATTTCTTTTCATCTAATTCGATTGGTGGACCGAGGGCACAGACGGTTGTTAGTGACAATCATCCAGAATAGTGTAAAGATTTTTGACCGGGTTGTAATTCATATTAAACATATTGTATATCTTTACAACAAATGTGCACTATTCTATTACTGTTCATGTGAGTCCCATACATAATAATTGCGTGTCTATTGCAAGAATGTACAAACGGTCCAATTTGAATTATAACCCATTCAAAAATACTTATAATGTTCTAGATGGTTGTCATTGACAACCGTCGGGGCCTGCTACTCGATGGGGTTGGTTGGGCGTTTTTTCTAATATAATGTTGCTGTTGAAAAATAAAGAAAAAACGAGCAATATAACTTGAAGTTAAAATAAATAATTTAAATTATTGTGGGGTCGCTCTCCTTGAGTTTGAGAACTACGTGCATCCTCTCACCGAGAACTATAAACGAATCGATCCCTTAGTGAACCATTCAAGCTCGAATCGTTAATGAATCGACTCAAGTTCAATTTTGAATAAGCTCGAACTTGATTTAAAATTTGTGCAGGAATTTTATTAAAGTATCGAATCAAAAACTTCTACACATTCAGCTCGTTAAACTTCTACACATTCAGCTCGATTTGACTTGAATAAATTCTTATATTTTTATTTTATATAATAAATATTTTATACATAATAACATATTCATTATTTATTTTATAGATATTACATATTTGTTATTGATAAACCAATATAAAAATATAAAAATAAATAAAATTTTGAACTCTTGAATCAAACTAGAACCTACTAAATATTAAATCGAATCCAGTTTGAACTTAAACGTTAAACTCGAATTGGAATTCAAGTTCAAAACTCCAAATTGCGCTTGACAGTTTCAAAATTGGATGATTATTCAGTTGCCATACTCCTAGGCAAAACAGCCGTTAAAATTTGGTTTGGCCCCAGTCCGAAACCCTTTTGATTGGGTCATAATAATCCGAACTTGACGACGCTGTATTCAGAAAGCTTCCCACTTTGCCTGAAAAATCTCAGTAAACAGGTCATTTCAGACTTGGAGAGTTGCAGTGGCGATGAAGAGAAGAGCGGCTTCATTAGGTACTGCTGCTGCTGGTAATTGTACTACTCTTGCTTCATTTCTCTCTGCATTCCCAAGCCCTAAACCCCAATTAGCTTTCTGTTCAGCTATAGCAACTAGTAGTGATAAAATTAGAAATCATCAGCACCAAATTGGAACGTCTTCTGGTAATGTTTTGCAATTTCTTTCTGGGTTGCAGGGTAGGATTGATAGTGGTGACAATCTTGATGATGCTCTGAGCTTATACCAGCAGATGGTCCGGATGAGGCCTCTTTCGGGAACATAAGGTTCCCCAAGCGCAAGAATTGTTTAAGAAAATAATATTCGAAAAGCTTTGCAAGCCCGATGACGTTTTGTTTCTGAATGTGATAGATGGGCTCTGTAAGGTGGGCAACACTCAAAAGACTGTTGAATTCCTCAGAGTCATGGAAAAAAGAAGAAGATGTAAGCCCAATGTTAATGTGTACAATACTATCATTGACAGCTTTTGCAAAGATAAAATGGTCGGTGAAGCTCTTGCCCTTTTGCAGGAGATGATTGAAAAGGGCATTCCCTCAGATGTTGTCACTTATAATTGTTTGATTGGTGGTCAATGCAATTTAAATAGATGGAAAGACGTTACAAAGCTCTTTTCTGAGATGAAGGATTACAAAATTACTACACAGTGGTGGATGCCCCAATGAAGAAATGATTCGTAGAGGTTTCTTGCTAGATGCATCTACTTTTTCCATTTTACTTGATTCATCTACTGAAAAACAGAAAAATCCTTCTCTACTTGTGTTGATGCTGAAGAATGGTCCTGATAGCAAGGAGTTTATGGATGGGGGATAAAGTGGACCTTCACATTGGTTGCAACTTTTGGTCCTACTGGTTTTTTGCCCCTAAACTTTAACTAACATTATTTAGGTTTGCTTTTGATTCTGTTCTCGGAATATAAGAAGTGTTTTAGGTGGAAGAAGCCGCGGTCTTTAAGGGAATACAAGTGTACTGGTGTACCCAATTATCCATGAATTATCTCTCTTCCTGTGTAGACGAAGCATATATGGTGGTGCCATTGTCTTCATCTCCCACAGCTCCAAGTGTTCCTCTGGTTCAACGACAGAGCGCAGAGAGCCGATATTGAAAACTTTCCGCCACTCATCATCAATTTTCCAGCAATTCTTCCACCTCTTCTCCTCAATCGAACCACCTGTCACTCACTTAAACAGGGAGGTCTTCTCATCAAGGAAGAAGACCTTAAACAGCAACCCCAACACCAGGAAGAATGATTAAACTATTTTCCTGCTAGCTATCCTTAGACGTGCCTTATCATGAGAATCAAGGACAGGGAGGTCTTCAAAACTCATCTCCTTGTAAATTGTAATGATGCTTCAAAGTGTTACAACCATGACAAGAAAACAATTAAACTAATAATACCATTTTGTTCCCTCTATTTCCTCCCTTCAACCTTTTCTTTGCAGTGCTAGTTCATTTTCATTGGTCTCTGATAATTGAAGTTGATGATTCAAGAAAATTAGGATCACAGATGTAAAAAAGAAAAAAAAAATGCCATGTTTTAGCAATAGGAGGTTAATAGGAGAACAGTGCAAATTAAAGAAGTCATTGAAGTCTTAAGCTCGACATAATATGCCCCTCTCATAGCATTGAAAAAATCTCACTTATGGCTATCTTATTAAAGTAGTCACCATTACTTCTACAAACACAGCTACTCAATAGCCCTATACAACTGAAATCAACCTGAAAAAGGTATACGTAATTTATCAATGGATGTTCGAAAGTTTAAAAGATGAAACATCTCTTGGGATTTATAACTATTCCACTACAAAAAAAAAAAAAAAAACTAAAGTAGTGATTCCTAATTTGCTTCCTTAATTCAATGTTTGTCCTGCTATATGTAAACTTGTACTTCTCTTTCCTTTCGTAATACTGTTTATTACTAACAATTCAAGGTTTAACACTTTAGATCTCTAGTTTCCACTTTAGGTTAATCACAGTCTAGTGTTTTTATGTTCATGCAATGTTTCACCAGGTTTTATGTTCATGTAATTTTTCACCAAAGAAAAATAGGCAATAGTAAGATAAGGAGTTCTGAACCACTTCTTTTCTTACTATGGGTTAAACTCCACTAATCCGCTCTCCGGACTCCTTCCGTCTAGGCTACTGCTGGCAAAAAATACATATGATATAAACAGGCATAACAAGTTACCAACAAAGGATAAAATACAGTCAAATTCACTTTCTTTTATCATATCCATGTTCAGTTAATTTTATGTTAGAGCAAATGAAATCTATCCTTAACTATTTGGAACTCCGCACATAGACATTTTTCCAAAATCTATTACATTTTTTTTAAAAAAAATTTAACATTTGACACTGCTCATAACGAGTAACCATTAGACAAACTGCTCCTTTTAAAGTGGCTTGTCAACACAAGTAAAGTAGTTTAATTAAATTAATGTGCTAGTGGGGAATCCAAAATTTATCTAGCAGGGGCACTTTTCAAGTTAATATCCTAAATCTTTAAATGGAGAATATACCATTAGAGATCTACATATGCAATAAGGATATGAAAAGGCCACGCTAATTTATCAAGAAGTCCTCAATATCGAATGCAATAATAATAAACATGGCTATTTGATCCTTTAACCTTTTTTTTCATCCTTCAAACTACCATTTTACTTGAATTATCCATTAATATTTGATATTAATGGACACACATAAGGAGCACATGTATAATCCTAATTTTTCTGATGGGTCCCTGCATTTTTAATAATATTTGTAACATTTTTTTAATAATTTTAGAAGAACTTTTCCCCACTTTGGGTTTTGGAAAAATACTCCACCAAAATTCTAACAACATTTTTTACAGTAGTTGGAGTTTTCATAGCATAATATTTAGCATATTTTACAAAAATGATTGCTTCTTGTGAATCATGAAAGAAAAAAAAGAACCTTTTTGGATGACTCAATTTGCTTGAATTCTATAATTCTTCAGTTCAATTTGGTGATTCGTTTGATTGCATTTTATATCCTTTGATTTGCTTTTCAAAAAGGATTTTCTGCTCTTAATTTGTTATAGTTTAAAAAAAAAGTTAGTATGTTTGTGTTTGTATATGTTAGTGTGTGTTTTAATATATCTATGTGTGTAAAAATTGTGTGTTTCCATATAAGAAGGTTAAGAAGTGAATGTATGTGTTGTAAGTGTGGAAGTCTTTTAGTGTGTGGAAATATATTTATGTACGTGTGAAACTATGATTATGTATAAGAAGAAATCATTTTGTACATGTAAATGTGTAAGAGTATTATGTATCAAAATGTGTGAAATAACATGTTGGATCATCTTTGGTTACGAGTTTTAGTTGACCCAATATGATCCAATCTAACATCAATCCAATCTATAGCTGGGTACATTGAGTATAACCTAAGTTAAATGAAATCCAAACACTAATATGATAAATTTCTAGGCGAGTAAAGGCATAGTTAAAGTAAAATTTGATAAATTTATATATAGGATGGGTAAAAATATGTGTTGGATTCAAAGAAAGTGAATTTGGGTTTAGTCACAATCATGATAATAGTTTAACTGGTATGTGATTTAGTTGACAGTAATCTCATCTTATAATTTGCATTTTGGCCTTTGGCACAAATAAAGGAATTAATAAAAGTTGTTTCTCAGACCTTTTCAAAAAAAAATTTTGACAGGAAAAACACAGCAAGTAACAATAACATAAGCTTTCTCAGGAAGCCTTGCTTTTCATATTCAAGTGCTCGTTGAACTAATTTACTACTAAATCAAGTAGTTATCCTATAAGCTGCAACTTAGTTTAGTATTTGCTCCAGTAAACGTGGAGCTATATATTTCACAGCTGTGCAAGTACATAGAAATTGCACAGAAAAATATTATTTAAAAAAAAGTCCAACTTAACATAAAAATTGGCTGAAATAGTATCAAGATTCAACCAATATTGAATATACCTCCACATAAATTACATGTACTCCTAAATAATTACTAAAACTCTAAAAAAATGTTAAAAGATAACGAAAGTGTGTAGTATGCCACATGACTAATTAATCTGAGTGTGTAAATCCAGAATTTCAAGTTCTAAAGTTGCATAGCTAGTTGTACTATCTAACTATCATACGTTGCCCAACACTACCACCTGAATGCAAATGTATATTGCTAAAAATCTTAAATTTTCTCGTAAAGAATTAGGACTGAGATAGCAATATCCAACTAATAATCAAAACCTGAAAAACTCAGATATAATGAAAGAAAAAAAAAAACTGTTTAACTCTCACTAGGAATCCCAATAAGAGAGAAAAAAACTTTCGCTAGGCAACCTTTTAGGAGAAAAAATTCTTACTAGAAAACTATCGAAGAGACTTTATCCAAATAAATGTTAAGAAACTAAAGAGGGGACTTCTCCTATGGGGAAAAGATCCAAAAAATCCGATCTCCCTCCTATTCATATGACAAACTAAATACAAATACGAATTCAAGGATCACATTATTTATGAAATTAAAAAGACTAACTTTTTTTTTTTTGTGTAAATGGAAGGACTCGAATCTGAGACCTCTCGCTGACACTCCCTCCTCCCATACCACCCAACCTATCCCTCCCCCCAAAAAGACTAACTTTAATTAGCAATTGATAACCTAAAATTAAAAATTGTTGGCAACAAATGGCTATAGCAGAATAACTATATAACTTCGAACAATCATTTAGGAGCAATAAAGGCAGTTTTTCCCTTTAGGCTAACGTTATAAATTACTCCAAATTGACTTCAGCTCCTCTTAGCGGAACTCAATGTTCCTATTCATTATAAGGGAGAAAAGTTGCACTTTAAAACAAAATAAGTGACATTATAAATTTGATGTAAATACTGAAAAAATATTTAAATGCACTCATAAGTTAACAGAAACTCCACTTTTAGCTTTGTAAGGCAGATGTATAAATAGGAAAGAAAGAAAAAAAAAAAAAAACTTAAACCTTACCCTCTGCTAATATCTTTTGTGCAGTAGCATTGTTCTACTCGACTCTTTGCAGATTCAATCTGATTGTTTGAGGTATGAACCAACCTAGCTTAGTTGATAAGACACTCCACCTATAACTAACAAATCACAGATTTGAGTGATCAAGGGAAGAGTGGAAAATCACTATTGATCCTCTTTGAAGAAAGAAAAAGGTATGAACTAAGCTACTTGAGTTCCTAATCGCGTGCAACCATACAAAAGTCTACTATCCTGCATCCTTTCCCAATGGTTTTTGATTCTCTCCTATGCAAGTGAGAACGAGTGCTATTATAAAATCATAATACATTTTCAGGAATACACCAAATTGAGAAGCCGTTAGGTTATAAAGTTGATAAACCAACAGCTTTAGATTCTGATACACATTAATTAAAAAATACTTGGCGTAACAATTCTTTAAAAGTCCTGGAAAGCAAACTTAATTCTGATTCCAATTCTGTGAAATAGAAAAGAAGTATGATAGAACGGCTTAATAATGAGAAATGAAAGGTGAAAGCAGAAAAGAGAATCGTCAATCAGACTTGTATGGTGATGAACTAGTTATCTCCCCTCGTTTTTGGGACTACTGCATTTTCAAGTACCTTACTCATCAAAGTCTGAAAAGGTATAAGAAATTAAAATTTTCTCCATTCTTAGACTCGATGAAAGAAACTAAAAAAAAAAAAAGTGTGAGTGTGCAAGTTTTCGGGAAATTAATAGTTTTTATCTCCAAATTTTGGGTCATGAACACATTCCATTCTCAAACTATGTGTCTTGTCTATGCCGTTGATTCTACCTCTTGTTGGCAGCAATTGACTTGGATGCAGTTATTTGAGAACGAAATGTGCCCATGAACCAAAGTTTGGAGATGAAAACTGGCATTTTCCCATTAATATTTCATTTGAAGATGAAATTGGTAAAAAATAAATAATTCAGATACTAAATATGTTATGACAAAAAATTTGAGAACGAAATATATCTGTGGCTCATAGTTTAGAGATGACAACTGGCATCTTACCGCAAGTTTTTTAATGAGGTGACCATCAATTCAATACAATTAGACGAGAAGATAGTGACTTAAACATCCTTGGACTTTGAACAGGTAAGGATTATAAATTTCTTTTCCTAAGTTCTGCTCTCGTTTATTTTTAGGCATTAGAATCTCATATTTAAAGTCATACAACATGTCTGGATATGTGTTCAAACTTCAAATAATTCATTTAAACAGATTGTGGCAGGCTTAAATTTGGATTTCATGGTGATCGTGGCTAGTTATTTGGGATGCTATGTTTTGGACTCCTATTTTGAATGATTAGTATTGGTTGAACTCGCCCCCAATAATGTTGGACTTGTGTTGTGGGCCAGCCCATTTGTGGGTCAGCCCACTTATGCAAGTGCGAGGGTTTCTCAAACTTAAATAC